ATTATCTCTTTTTTTATTTTTTGCCACCTTGTCAAGTTACAATACAATAATAAATTACAAACGTTTTATGACGTCATGTGACGTCAGTTAGTTTACTGAGCCTTTGCCTCCGATTCTAGTCATTGCTTTGTGTTTCGAGGATTTAAGCGATTTATCTGACTGTAACGAAGGTATAGCAAAGTGAATAAGATTCTTAAGATGATTTATGGTAGTTGTCGACAAGGACAATCCTTCTTATTTTCCTCCATCTTGTAAATAGTTCTACCCTCTTGCAAACCTTGGCCTCGTGATAGGGCGGACATTTTTGGTGGCAACTGCGCTTGATTCGCAGGGTTTTTGACAGCTTCAAATTTCGAAAACTTATTTTACAACGAAATCCACTGACTTTAAAGAAGTTTCGCCGGACCAGAAATCAAAACGTCGCACTTGCGCAGAAGCGTGTCATAGTCCCTTTAAGACTTAAAAATGACAATAAAATCGTGGCTTATGCACTTTAAGTTTCAATGCATTTCCTTCCTATATTTCCTTAATAAGGCCTAGGCCAAACGTCGAACTTTTCATGAGACGAACCAAACTTAGGCCTAGGACAAACGTCGAATGTCTGAAGATCATCTCCGGCACAAACGTCGATCTTCACATGCGACGAACTAAACTAATAAATTAAAAAAAATAAAGATAATGTATGTTTAGCCTCGTTTGGGAGAAAATTTTTTGAATTTTCAATTGATGGAATTACTTTCGTTGGATAAACTTTTAATTCCAGGAGCAAACCTTAGAGGTTAAGTGCTGAAATCTTGTGTTTTGATCATTTAAGTAAGACCTGCGTTTCCGCGGTTACACATGATATTATTTTGTTATTGTTGCTGTTTGCTTGTTTCTCTTTTTTGCCTTGTATTTGTTGTTGTGTTTTTGTGAGTCTTTTACAAAATGAAGTCGACTATTTGTTGTTAATTTGTAGAGCAGCGTGTTTCAACCCTTATGAAAATAAATTTCAAAAAGACCGTGAGATAAATCTTGAAAGTGGTGGGAAATTCCCTGATTTAGCTTGATCAAGAATATGGAAATAAATCAGTTTGCCAAAAAAAAAAAAAAAGGCCTGCTATATACCCATAATTCTCTGAGCGTCATTAAGTTTTGCAGTTAAGGACGTCACTTCCCAAGGCCTATTTGTGACGGCTGTCGGCTAGCGCAGTTCCGATTATCTCTGGGTCACTTCCCGTGACATGAAGTGACAAAGATAGCTAGGACTGAACTATTTGCAGGGCAAATAGGTGGGGAGGGAGGGGGGTTACTCCGGATTTCAAGTGACAGGGATAATCAAAGGATTTGGGGGGGGGGGGGGGGG